AACCAAACAGTATTTGATCGACATTGTAGCTCTATTAGTATTGCAAGACTCAGTCCATAGTTCTCATCAGTTGATTATTGATAATTTAGAAAAGGCTATTTTACATAGAAAGATAAATTATAATATTATAAAGGCTTATCAACAAGTGAATTCGATAATATTAAACCTTTTTCTAACTCTTCTCGAAGAGTTTTAAGAAATTGTTCAAGATTTGTCGGAACAATACTATTTATATTATTAAGCTGTAACAGTAAATTCATACGATCTTGATACTCTTTTGGAATGGGTTGAATTTTTTTAATGATTTGTAAAGCATCATTTGCTAGTTTTATATTATCTTGAGCAACAATTAAAGAAATCAATGGATTGGGCATTGTTTTTTCTACTTTAGCTAATTCGATTATTAGTTTTATGCATAATTCTTTTGTGATATAATTGCTAGTACTTTCCAATAAAACAGTAATACTACTTAACAATTGTTCTACAATATCCTTTTTATTCAAACATTTCAGTAAAGTTTCTAATGCCCTATTAATTAAATTAGGACAATTATTAATAATAGTATCAATTCGACGAAACTCTTCTACAGTTAATTGAAGGAGAAATTTTTTATTCAATTTATCTAAGAATTCATTTGCATTATCACTTACATTAGAGAGCTGCAACTTATGTTTTTGAATATGATTTAGTTCCAAATGAATCAATATTTGATTGATTTCTTGTTTTATATCTTTATCACAATCGACATTTGTTACTTTCTCTAAAAGAGCATCTACACTATCCGATATAAGTTGAATTCTGTGAACTGTAAGAAGTTTATTAAAACTATCCACACTTTTACGAATAACAGTCTGATTACCTTTTCGAAGAGCATGGATTAAAGCTTTTTGTATACTTCTATCGATCGTTTGTAGACCTTCTTTGAAAAAAATGCTTTCCTTTTCTATGAGTAAACAAAAGAATGACAAATACTGTTGCATCATCGATGACTTATTTATAGTCAAAAATTTATTTGAAATTTTTTTAATTATATTACTTGATAAATTTTTACCTTTTTGACCTAGCAAAACAAAAATTAATGATACGTCATCCGAAACAGATTCATTATCAAACGCATTTTCTAATTTGATTAAAAGTTCCTTAGAAACGTTTTGATGATTTTTAATTAAATTTTCAAATAATTTAATCAATGTACAATTTGTTTGTTTGGGATCGAAGTTTTTTACTAATCTATCAATCATCATATCGGGTATAACTTGTTTATTACTTGAAATATTCAGTAAAAGTGTTATTAAATTTTCTGTTAATTCCGATTGACTATCGATTATTCTACTTAATACTATCCATCCACTGGTTGTCAGTGTTTTACCTTCCTTTGCCTTTTCGTATAAACGCTGTATAATATCATCATCGTCATCGAATGACAACAATGCATTAGAAATACAAATTCTTTCTAACTCAAATATATCATATATTTTATCAGATATGTGTTGATTATTTTTAGCTGTATCTAATAAACAAAATGATTCCTCTCTTAATCTATCATTATCCGACGAAAAGAGATTGTTGGCAAATATACAGAGAATTTTTTCGCTGACTTTTTGTCTATTTCTTATTAGGTTCTTAAATATGTTCAAGACTTCTTGATCAACAGTTTCAGTTGGTTCTATGACACTATCTAGTACGGATATTGTCTTTTCTGGTATAGGATATAGCAAGCCTGTATAATTATCAATGATTTGAATTACTTTAGCTCGATTGGAACCTTCTGACATTAAAATATGATCGAAAATACTAAATATATTATCCTCGAATATGGTCTTTTTACACTGATTAAACAAAACAGATATAATATTTTCATGAACTATATCGGTAAAATTTTCTTCATCTAATTGCAAGTCTCCAAATGCATAAATTTTTGGTAAAAGTTCAAGATGGCATTTCATAATAGGCTCTTCAGTTGATGATGATAATTTTGCAAGACTTTGTGCATAAACAACTGTTGAATAAACTGAAACATCAGGCACTTCATCATCTACATAATCTTTTAATTCAATTAAGTGGTCGTTATGAATATCGTGCTTATCTCGAGCTAGATATAAAGATTTTGCTGAAAAAATTTGTGTTTGTTTATCACTACTGCTCAGTGCTCGAATAAGATGTTCGAGAGTTTGTTTAGAAAGTTTAAGATTATTATTTTTTAAAGTATTAACAAAGATTTTAGCAACTATTGATGAAATAGATGGACAATCAGAATTATTTAATAAGTTTCTACAGAATAAAATATTACTTTCTTCATTTGGAATACGATCATCTAATAATTTGAAAGACAATTGGTTAATTTTTGATATTAACTGTCTTCTAGAAATAACTTCTAAAGTTGCAGCAGCAAAATAAACTAATATTTCATTGAATTTGTCGATATTTTCTATTAAATTTCCTATAATAAATTCAGGAATGTTTTGATCCTTCGAAACAGTCAATAAAATCGAATTTAAAGCTTCTTTTTTTAATTCAACGTTATCATTTTGATCGTTAATTAGATAAATACAATTTTTTAATTGAATCTCATTCAAACCTTTAGTACAAGAACGTTCAAGATATTTATTAATCGTCATACAACAATATAGCTTTGACTCGTCATTTAAACTATTGTTATTCAATAAAGAACTTATCCTTGAAATAACATATTCATTGAATAATATTTTACATTTTTTATCGTCCTTACATTGTTGATGAATGAAAATTGCTGACTCTTCTACATTGACATTATTCTCAAGATTTTCTAGGCATAATTTAAATAATTTATTACAGTCGATCTTATTACTATCTGCAAATGTTGCCATTATTTTTATGACAAATTTTTTGAATTTCTCATCATTTTCATTCTGGAATAGTTCAATTTGTTTCAATTGGTGTTCACTTAACGTTGCTTCACTTTTCGTGACAGAACAATAGAGAGCTTCAATTGCTGCACATCTAACTTCACTAACTTCTAAGGAAATAATTTCCTTCAGTTTTTCCGGATTTGTAAAGGAATTATTATAGATTCTGTTTGCCATATCTGAGACAAGACTTGGATGAAACTTATACGTCGTCAAAGGATCATCTTGAAAAAATTTAAAGAACTTTCTATTATCTGCTGATCTATTTCTGTTTCGGATTGCTTCTATAAGTTTGTCTTTATTTTCTGAATCGCCAAAAATTTTTTTTTCCATATTTTCCAGAGAATCTACACTATTCATGAGTGTTCGTACTATATTATCATGTATTCTCTGTGTTTTTGAAATTTTAAGAAATATATCCGCAATCATTCTGTCAATAAATAATGATTCTATAATGTTAGATAGATACCACCTATTTTTAAATTGTAGAAATTTAGAAGGTAAATATTGATCTTTATCTTCTGCTTTCAATACTTGTTCAGTTAAAAATATTTTATAAAGATTAAGAATTTCCGAAAAGGTATTTCGCCAAATCGATTGATCACTTCCATCCTTATCGGGTATACGCGGAAGTTTTTCAATAACCGAATTTTTTTCACGTTGTTTACCTAGGTTATCAGAAAAATTTCGTATAATTGATTCATTGAATGATTCCTCGGATTGACAAGATTTATGATGAGTTTTATCTATTTTCTGTTCTTTTGTTCTAACTAATTGCTGTGGCATTTTAGAATGCTCAGATAATATTTCTATTCCAGGATAAAAATTTCTTCCGTTGTTTTCATCATCTACTTGGCAACAGTTTTGAATTTGTTTGTGTAAAAGTTTTAGAGACTCGGAACTAAGTTTATCTTTTGATTCGTCTATTACAGAGTTGATCTTATCAATAAGTTCTTTGTCTTTTAGTTTTTCATTATTTTCAAAACGGTTTCTAATTTGATATGCTAATGCTTGTACCATTTCAGATTTTATCAAAGCATGGTTATTTTTCTGTACAGCTATAACAAGAAATTCAAGTGATAAATCTATGTTTCTGTTTTGGATTGAGTATCTTATTTTCCTAGCATATTCCAATTTCGTATGATTGTCAACGTTCTCATCCACTATATTCTGATAAATCTGTTCCATGATATCTTGTGCTAGTTTATGCTGGTGTCTCGTATTCTCTATGTCGTGGGATAGTTGTGAATGATTTACCTTATCGATTCAATAAATTTGATTTAGCGTGGCGAAAGACTCTTCAGTACTGGAAATATCAATGTTAACCAGTCTTTTAGAATCTGGTTCTGACAAAAAATTAATGAAATAAATAAACAAGACTAATCTTACGAATAGTTATGGGTAATTATTTGTATTGAGATCAATGGAGTTTTTCGTTTCGGTCGAGCCTAAATATTAAGAATGAGAAAATGGTAGTTTGAATAGAAAATAATTTAGCAAATCAAAGACTTTTATCTTTCGGCACATCATTCGCCTTGCTCCTTAGATAGATACCTTTATCTTCTACACTCTAAAGAAAGGATTTTTACAAAACCAAAAAAAGTTCATTCGCTCGATACTCGGGCCGATCCTTTTTTTTCGTTTCGTAGAAAAAAAAGTTCTGTATGGAATCTTTTTTGAAAAATGGGGTGTGGGTGTGGGTGTATTGGATCTCTTTGTCTGCACCCACACCTACCCAAATTATCAACTCCTAGGGCTATCTCCTTACATACGAAATGGTATTTATTATATACCTAAAATATCTCAACAGGTCCTCCTCAAAAAGAAACCGTGACAACTAAAATCAATAAATTTACCTTTATGTCGTTATTGGGAACCCATCCACAGCAACCAATCAATTAATAATTAAGGCCATTAAAATAGCATCTTAATGAAGAGCTTATCCAAATCTAAAGTAGAATAAGAATACTTTATAGAATGGTGTAGGTGTGGATTAGAATAGTATTCATCTACACCCTTGCTTTTTTGTAGATCTCAGTCAGTACCACATGTAATGAAAAGGTTCATTCCAACACGCGACTTTTAAGGGATTATAAGATAGCATAGATGATATCCTATATTAAATGCATCGGCGGGTCGGGAACAGTAGCGACTCGCTAGCGAGGTGGGGCAAGCCAATCAAAACTGGGAGAACGAAAGAAAAATTGTTTCTTTCTCTTGAATTTGATTGGCTTGCCCCACCTCGCCAGCGAGTGGCTAGTGTTCCCGGCCCGCCGATGATTAAATGGAAATAAAATGTTAATGGTATTCTTCATACTTTACTTTTAAATAGAGACCTGAAAATTTTACTACACATCTGTATCTAATGAAGACCTTTTATTCTTGGAACTTTCAACTCTCCAGTTATAACCAGCGTTTAATAGCATTTTTTTTACTTGGTACCTGGGTTATTTCCACTGTATAATGAAAAATTACTTACGAAAATTTATGTATTTCAATCTCGTCGATGCATTTCACCGCTAGTTATAGCTGAAGACTTGAAAGCTTCAGGAATAAAAGGTCTTCATTAGGTACAGATTTGTAGTAAAATTTTCAGGTTTCTATATAAAAGTAAAGTATAAAGAACCTCATTAACATTTTATTTGCATTTAATATAAGACATCCTCTATGGTATCTTGTAATTCCTTAAAAGTCTCGTATTGGAACGAACCGTTTACATTACATGTGGTACTGATTGAGATCTACAAAATAGCAAGTACCGGAATTGAAGCTATGAGTCACACTTGTGGACCTTGCCTTATAAGACACAAAACTCACTATTAAAATCGATTGTTTTTTTTTCATTTGGGGTCTAGGGGAAAAACAAGAACATATCACCAGAATCAGCTCGACGAGCTCTACAAACTGGTATGTAACGCATTCAAAAGTGAGACTCACACTTGAGGGTGTTCCCTCGTAAGTCATTCCAAATTTTTATCATATATCCAGCTGTTTGGAAATGATCATTATCTGTGACAACTTTCATTACAAATACTCTGATTGTTTATTCTCGAATAATTTTTGTCATTTCGAACTCCCGTCTACCAATCTCCAAACTCTGTCGTCTTTTTCTCTTGTTCGAAAATCGTGACGAACACCAACACTGGAAGATCGTAATGACAAGTTGGTGCGAAATGTCCCCTTACACTTAGTAGAATATATCAAACTATGATATAAACACTACAACTTAGAAGTGCAAATATCGTCTCTACAAATTATATTCAATTCACGATGAAAACTATTCTATGAAGATCTACGTGAATAATGTCACTAAAGTTAGTCCTTTTTTAAAGCCGAAATAAACAAAAGGAAGAGAATATTAGCTAAATGAAGTATCTTTCTATCTCTTCTTCTAATTCGCATGCTAAATTACTAATTCAGATTTTCAATCAATGTTCTAATAAAAAAAGACTGAATTCACTACTCTGTGTGAGTAGTTCACGTTTACTTTACTCACGACATTTTCATTACCTATTACTGTTGCCATTGTATGCAACAATAGTGAGTACTCGCGATTTTTATATACAAATAACGTTTATCAGTCCTTATCATATGTAAAATACCAATTTACGTAAGTCATGTATCACTCCAAAAAAGTCTTAAGATCTTTTCATTGGTTTAACGTGTTATCTCCCACAATATCTATGATACTGGAAACAACCAACAAGAGATTTCAATGACACTAGACTTGTAGGAAGAATTATGAATCATGGGCAAACATTTTGGAATATTCATACTTTGGATAATAAATTTTTACAAAACAACTATTTTCGAAGTGCGTGGGTGTGGTTATGAGATGATAGAAGATACACCTACACTCCACACCCACACCCACCCTTCTTGATTTTTTGCCAAAAACGTGAAAATATATTTGAACCAGTACATATGCAAGAGTTTTTTGTATTTACCATTAGTACTTGTGAAACCTCTCCAGTAGTTCTAAGAACGGTAGACCTTTGTTTTAATGGATCTTCAGCAGGTACTGTTGCCTCATTTTTAGCTACAATAGAATATTGATCTTTTTTGAATTGTAATGCATATTCATAAGCTTTTTGAAGGACACCTAGAAATCATACAAGTACAATTGTTTATCAATGCATATATGTAAATTTGAGGAATATCAGACATCCAGTAAAATGCAGAATTTGTAGAGATATGCAAGAAATACTATACAACCTGTATGTGTTCGTACTTGATATTCTTAATATGTGATACTGCTCCGAACCTTTATCTATTCTCATATTATTATTTCATAGAAATTTTTAGAACTTATGTCACAATTAAACATTTATTAACTTACGTTGCGTATGATCTAATAAATGTCCATCATCTTTTGTATAATTTTCAATAATTTTTTGAAAACTTTCAACTCGTTTGATCAGCATGTTGTTTGTTTTCCTCAACTGTTTCAATAAATTTTATAATTGTCGTTATAACAGTATATAATATTGTGATAACTGATCCAGTCGTCGCAATAGGATCAATCATAGCCTAACAAGAGTTTCTAGAAAAAGAAAGTATTTACATTATTAATGTAATTAAAAGTGTATTTTCAAATAATCAGAAATATTTACACTTCAGTCGTCAAAGAGTAGTTCGTAGAGTTCATCCCTCTATATGTTCTATCATTTGTGTAATATTATATGAACATTTGCATTAAAAATATTCTCAAAGGATTAAGAAACCGAATTTTTTTTTTGCAAATACTCATTAAATATTATAGTTCCTGAACTCCTAATATGACATATGAACCTGAATTTAATCTTAGTATTATGTATGATTGTAATTATAATTAATACACTTTCTCATCCAGAATAGAGATATGAGAAGTGTAGTTGTGAATGACGATACGAATCTACTTTAAAAATATTGCCGTAGTCATATTCATAAAAGAAATGAAATTGACATATAATGAGCGAATAGCAACGATCTCAAAGAAAATATTGAGCGTTTGAAAATTTCTTAAAATGTAGACATAAATAAGATAGATTCTCTAACTCTATGAATTGATTATGTTGGAAAACAAGAAAGATCTAAGAGATGTTTTTCACTATATCTATATTGTATTAGCTTAATGAGATTAAAGAATGTATGTAAGTTCCTAAAAGACTACTCTAACAAACTTTCATTTTCCATTTCTCATTTATGAATTTATTTTAATGAAGAGGGTGGATGTGGGTGTGTTGATATTCAAAGAAAGACTCCAACACTCACACCCAAGCCGCAAATGAATTTATTTTTTATGAGAATATTCTTTCTAAAATATAAAGAATATTTTGTAATTCAAGTTTAAACGAACACCAATGAAAATGTCTCGAGTGATCTTCATTTTACATTCAAGGAAAACACAAATTGAATCAAAAAATTGGCAGTTATATGGGTGTGGGTGTGGGTGTGGGTGTGGGTGTGGGTGTGGGTGTGGGGTGTGGGGTGTTTGTGTGGGTGTGGGTGTAGGTATAGTTAGAGACCCACACTCACACCCACACC